TAAAGAAGAAACAAAGATTGTAATTATGCTGTCACAAGTTATTTTAAGAAACTGTTTGACTATGGCTAACAATTTGGCCTTAGTTCAGAAAACATAAGGAATTTAGGGTTTAAGGGCACCTGGGCGGCTCAGTCAGTTAAGCATCTGCCTTCAGCTCAGGTCATGATCCCAAGGTCCTGGGATTGAACCCCACATGGGGCTCCCTGCTCAGCGGGGAGTCTGCTTCTCACCCTCCTTTTGCCTCCCCACCCCTGTTCATACATGCTCTCTCCTCAAATAAATAAATAAAATCTTTAGAAAGAAAGAGAGATAAATAAATAAATTTGGGGTTTATTTGGATCCTCAGAAGACTTAACTTTAAAAGAGGCAAGTGTGGAATGCCAGGTGGTTCAGTGATTGAGCATATGCATTCGGCTCAGGGCTTGACCCTGGAGTCCTGGGCTCAAGTCCTGCATCAGGCTCCCTGCATGGAGCCTCTTCTCCTCCCTCTGTCTATGTCTCGGCCTCTCTCTGTGTGTGTCTCTTATGAATAAATAAATAAAATCTTTTTAAAATTAAAAAAATAAAAGGGGCAGGTTTGGGACTCCTAGGTGGCTCAGGTGGTTAAGTGTCTGGCTCTTGATTTCAGCTCAGGTCATGATCTCAGGGTTGTAAGATCAAGCCCTGCAACAGGCTTCATGCTCAGCACAGAGTCTGCTTGTCCTTCAACCTCTGTTCTTCCTCTCTCTCTCTCTCTGTCTCTCTCAAATAAATATTTTTTAAATGTGCAAAAGACTTGAATAGACATTTTTTTGAAGAAGACATACAAATGGCCAATAGATACATGAAAAGGTGCTGAACAGGAGATCCTGGGTGGCTCAGCGGTTTTGCACCTGCCTTCGGCCCAGGACATGATCCTGGAGTCCCGGGATTGAGTCCCGCATTGGGCTCCCTGCTTCTCCCTCTGCCTGTGTCTCTGCCTCTTTCTCTCTCTGTGTCTGTCATGAATGAATAAATAAAATCTTTAAAAAAAAAAAAAAAGAAAAGAAAAGAAAAAAGAAAAGGTGCTGAACATCATTCATTATCAGGAAAATGCAAACTGAAACCTCAGTGAAATATCACCACACACCTGTTAGGATGGCTGTTATTAAAAAAGATAAGAGATATCAAATATTCCTGAGGATATGGAGAAAAAGAGACTCATTGTGCACAATTGTGGGAATATACACTGGTAAAGCTACTATGGAAAACATCCTCAAAAAACTAAAAATAGAACTACTACATGATTGAGCAATCCCACTCATGGGTATATATCCAAAGGAAATTAATATTGCAAAGAGCTATCTGCACATTCATGTTCATTGCAGCATTATTCATCATTACCAAGATATTGAGGGTCCAACTGTCCTTTTTTTTTAAAAAAAGATTTTATTTATTCATGATAGAGAGGCAGAGACACAAGCAGAGGGAGAAGCAGGCTCCATGCAGGGAGTTCAACGCAAGACTCGATCCTGGGACTCCAGGATCAGCCCTGGGTGGATGGCAGGCACTAAACCGCTGAGCCACCCAGGGATCCCCCCCAACTGTCCTTTAAAAAATGAATGGATTAAAAAAAAAAAAAAGTGACATGGCCAACATGCACATGAGAAAATGCTCTGCATCACTTGCCATCAGGGAAATACAAATCAAAACCACAATGAGATACCACCTCACACCAGTGAGAATGGGGAAAATTAATAAGGCAGGAAACAACAAATGTTGGAGAGGATGCGGAGAAAAGGGAACCCTCTTACACTGTTGGTGGGAATGTGAACTGGTACAGCCACTCTGGAAAACTGTGTGGAGGTTCCTCAAAGAATTAAAAATAGACCTGCCCTACGACCCAGCAATTGCACTGTTAGGGATTTACCCCGAAGATTCAGATGCAATGAAACGCCGGGGCACCTGCACCCCGATGTTTCTAGCAGCCATGTCCACAATAGCCAAACTGTGGAAGGAGCCTCGGTGCCCATCGAAAGATGAATGGATAAAGAAGATGTGGTTTATGTATACAATGGAATATTACTCAGCCATTAGAAATGACAAATACCCACCATTTGCTTCAACGTGGATGGAACTGGAGGGTATTATGCTGAGTGAAGTAAGTCAATCGGAGAAGGACAAACAGTGTATGTTCTCACTCATTTGGGGAATATGAATAATAGTGAAGGGGAATATAAGGGAAGGGAGAAGAAATGTGTGGGAGATATCAGAAAGGGACACAGAACATAAAGACTTCTAACTCTGGGAAATGAACTAGGGGTGGTGGAAGGGGAGGAGGGCGGGGGGTGGGGGTGAATGGGTGACGGGCACGGAGGGGGACACTTGACGGGATGAGCACTGGGTGTTATTCTGTATGTTGGTAAATTGAACACCAATAAAAATTAATTTATAAAAAAAAAAGTGAGATACACACACACAGACACAGAGGAATATTATTCAGCTGTGATAAAGAAGGAAATCCTCGCCTTTACAACACGGAGGAAACTGGAGGGCATTCTGCTAAGTGAAATTAACCAGACACAGAAAGATAAATACTGCACAGTATCATTTACATGTGGAATCTTGGGCACCAGGTGGCTCAATGGTTGAGCATCTGCTTTTGGCTCGGGGTATGACCCCAGGGTCCTGAGATTGAGTCCCGCATCAGGCTCCCCTCAGGAAGCCTGCTTCTCCATCTGCCTACGTCTCTGCCTCTCACTGTGTGTCTTATTTTTTTTTTAATTTTTTTTTATTTATTTACGATAGTCATACAGAGAGAGAGAAAGGCAGAGACACAGGCAGAGGGAGAAGCAGGCTCCATGCACTGGGAGCCCTACGTGGGATTCGATCCCGGGTCTCCAGGATCACGCCCTGAGCCAAAGGCAGGCGCCAAACCGCTGCGCCACCCAGGGATCCCTCACTGTGTGTCTTATGAAAAAGTAAATAAAATCTAAAAATGAAAGAGAAAGAAAGAGAAAGAAAGAAAGAAGAAAGAAAGAAAGAAAGAAAGAAAGAAAGAGAAGAAAGAAGAGAGAAGAAGAGAAAGAGAAAGAAAGAAAGAAAGAAAGAAAGAAAGAAAGAAAGAAAGAAAGAAAGAAAGAAAGAAAGAAAGAAAAAAGGTTCTCTGGGTGGCTCAGCGGTTTGGCGCCGCCTTCGGCCCGGGTCGTGATCCTGGAGACCCCGGATCAAGTCCCGCATCGGGCTCCCTGCATGGAGCCTGCTTCTCCCTCTGCCTGTGTCTCTCTCTCTCTCCCCTCTCTCTCTGTGTTCACATGAATAAATAAATAAAAATCTTAAAAATAAATTAATTAATTAAATTAAATTAAATTAAAAAGAAAAAGAAAGAGGGGATCGCTGGGTGGCTCAGCGGTTTGGCGCCTGCCTTTGGTCCAGGGCGCGATCCTGGAGTCTCAGGATCGAGTCCCGCGTCGGGCTCCCGGCATGGAGCCTGCTTCTCCGTCCTCCTGTGTCTCTGCCTGTCTATCATGAATAAATAAATCTGAAAGAAAGAAAAGAAAGAAAGAAAGAAAGAAAGAAGAAAGAAAGGAAGGAAGGAAGGAAGGAAGGAAGGAAGGAAGGAAGGAAGGAAGGAAGGAAGGAAGGTGGAATCTTAGGGGCGCCTGGGTGACTCAGTCTATTAAGCATCTGCCCTTGGCTCAGGTCAGGATCCTGAGGTCCTGGGATCAAGCCCCAAGTTAGGCTCTCTGCTCAGTGGGGAGCCCGTTTCTCCTTCTCCTCCCTGCTCCTGCTCTCTCTATCTCTGTCTCTCTCAAATAGATAAATAAAATCTTAAATAAATAAATATGGAATCTTAAAAAAAAAAAAAAGCCAGTTTCATAGAAACAGTAGAATGGTTGCTATCAGGGGATGGGGAGTAGGGGAAACAAGGAGATGTGGGTCAAAGGCCACAGACTTTCAGTTAAAAGAAGAATACATTCTGAGGATCTAATGTACAGCATGGCAACTCTAATTCATAATTCAGAATTGTGTACCAGAAAGTTGCTGAGAATATCTATTATGGATTCTTGCGACAAAAAAATAAAAATATAAATATAAATAAAAATAAAATGTTAACTATGTCCCATGATGAACGTGTTTATCCTGAGCTTGGTAATCTTTCCACAATGTATATGTACATCAAATCATCATATCATACACTTCAAATATATACAATTATAATTGTCAATTATTCCTCAATAACATTGGAAAGAGAAAAAGAAAGTTCAGAGCCAAAAGTCAGAATACTATTAATATGAACTGATTTTTGATGACATTAATAAGAAAATAAATTGCATTTGGAGACTTAAAAAAAATAACGATGGGTGAGAGCTCTCAGAAAGAGGGGGTTCTGGGTCTCTAAGAGGCTTTGGTTTTCCAGGGCCAGGGTGGATGTCAGGATGATAGGAACACCCCCAAATGTGGAACTCTGATTTGATGAGAGTGGAGACCATGGGACAACAGGGGAGACTTCAGAGGCTGCTGGGTGTGCAGCTCCAGTCAGGAGACAACCAAACACTGCAGATCTAGATCTAACTGCCAAGGTCCCGGGGTCAATCCTGACTCCTCCCCAGCCTCCACTTCTTGGGGCCCCAGCGCAGATGCAGGAAGTACTGCTTGAGGCTCAGCTTCCTCTATGCATATTTTGGCACTGCCCCGCCACCCCCCTTACTCCCAGGGACCTTCCCATTGGGGCACTGCAGCACTTTCACTTCCCCCAGGTGCCCAGCCCCTGCCCTGGCATATGGGAGCACCGCAGTCTACACTGGTTGCCAGGAACAGGATACAGACTCTGAGAGAGGGGCCATGACAAGGTGCGGGGTGAGGCATAAATGAGAAAGGAATGGCATGCAGAGAGAAGGGGCCAGAACCCCAGAGGAGGAGATAGATGTAGGGGGTTTGGGAGTCAGGGAAGGGAGGTGGACAGAGATGAGAGAGAAGGGGACAGAGACTCAGAGAAGGGAGAAAAGGAAACTGAGGGCTGGGAAGAGGGGGACAGAGAGGGATGCAGAGATGGCAGAGCTGAGCAGGCAGTGAGGTCAGAGTGTCTGTGAGGTCGGCTGCTGCCCAGGGCTGGCCTGGGGTCCTGGTGCCCACAGTAGGTGGGTGTGAGGAGATCAGGAGTCCTTCTGGGTCCCCCAGCCTGAGCCATGGAGATCTGGGAGGGACTACCCAGCATGTCCTTGGTGCCCACAAATTCCAAGGCCCCACAGGTACTGGTGTGTGTCCCAGTGGGGCAGGTGGGGGAGACGGGGGAGACTGGGGAGATGGGGGTGGAGGGGGTGGCAGAGACAGACAAGAAAGCCACCTTGCCTCTAGAGGGAGGGGGTGGGGCTCCAGCCCTAGAACTTCCTCTTTCTCTGGGTTCTTCCTTTCTCCCTCTCTCTCACAGTCTCTGTCTTTCTGCTTGTCTCCTCCGGGACCAACACCTCTTCTCTTCTGTCCCTCCCACTGGCTGGTCACCCCTCTAGGCGAAGATGTCGGCCCAGGACAGCTGCCTCAGCCTCATCAAGTACCTCCTCTTCGTTTTCAACCTCTTCTTCTTCGTGAGTTGCCACATGGCTGCCCAGCCCAGCCCCCAGCCCGTGCTGCAGCCACCCGCAGCCACCCAACCGGACATATCCCCCACCACCCCCTTGCCCACCTCCATATTCCCATGTCCTCCCACCAGGTCCTAGGCAGCCTTATTTTCTGCTTTGGCATCTGGATACTCATTGACAAGACCAGCTTCGTGTCCTTTGTAGGTGAGGGGGCCGGGGCCATCAGGGAGGGCCTCCTGGACCAAGTGTGACCCGGCCTGCCCCTGAGTGACCTCCCCGGGCTCCCAGGGTCCCAGACTCTGCTTCACAGATTGCCACTGCTCTTAGCCTCAGGGTCTTCCTCTGGCAATTCAGTTGTGTGTAGGGATGATAATAAAAATGGCAATAACCATTTCTCAGGCACTTCCTCCGGTGCGCTGTAGATCTTGTGCTGATGCTGTAGATCTTGTGCTGATGCTTATCAGGTCCTCCCACAAACTTTCCACTCTCTTGAGGTTCAGAGAGGGGATGTCACTTACTGGATGTCACACAGCAAGGAAGTAGAAGAGTAGATATAAGACTAATAATAGGAAAGTAATAATGGAATAATGGTATTTAATGAGTGTTTGCCCTGTGTGTGTGTGTGTGTGTGTTTTTGTTTTTTTGTTTTTCTTTTTTTTGCCCTGTGTTGAGCACTGTGTCAAACACATGCCTCCCATGTGTCTTTTAAAATAACCCTAGGGAATAGATATCCTCCCATTGCCCTCAGGGAGGTTTTTGTGACTGCTCCAATGCCACAGATCAAGTAATGGAGTTGAAACTATAGGGGGCGAGGAGGAGCTGAAGGAGAAAAGAGAGACAGAAAGAACAAAAGAACAAGAGGGAGAAACCTTGACCAGGGAGAAATCAAGAGAGATCCAGAGAGAAAACAGAGACCTAGAGAGGGCGGTGGGGGAGCTAGAGACCCGGAGGGACAGAGTCCCAGAGAGAGGAAGAGAGAGAATCCCAGAAAGAGAGGAACAGAGAGGAACATGTGGCAGGGACAGACACCCAGAGAAAGAGCCTCCCCCCCCAATACTGATCCCCAGTTGAGTGGCTGTGTGGGTGGAGAAGGGGGCTCCCCTGAGCTGTGTGCACCAAGCCCAATGTCACTGCCTCTCACCTTCCCCAGGTTTGTCCTTCATACCCCTGCAGATCTGGTCCAAGGCCCTGGCGATCTCAGGAATTCTCACTATGGGCCTTGCCCTCCTGGGCTGTGTGGGGGCTCTGAAGGAGCTCCGCTGCCTCCTGGGGCTGGTGAGTGTCCTGCCCACATCTCCCCTCAAGTAGAGCCCTGGCAGCCTCTGCACCCTGCGAGGGGGCTCAACTTGACCTCTCCACTCTGTCCGCCAGTATTTTGGGGTACTGCTGCTCCTGTTTGCCACGCAGATCACTCTTGGAATACTCATCTCCACTCAGCGGATGCGGGTGAGCTTGGCTTCCCCTCCCCACACTTCCCCAAAATTTATTGGGGGGAGGTGCAGAGAAAGAAACAAAGGCAGGGCACCTGGGTGGCTCAGTGGTTGAGCTTATGCCTTTGGCTCAGGGCCTGATCCCGGGGTCCTGGGATGGAGTCCCCTATCAGGCTCCCCGCAGGGAGCCTGCTTCTTCCTCTGCCTATGTCTCTGCCTCTGTTTCTGTGTCTCTCATGAATAAATAAATTTTTAAAAATCTAAAAAAAGGGACACCTGGGTGGCTCAGTGGTTGAGCATCGGCCTTCTACTCAGGGCATGATCCCGGAATCTCTGGATCAAGTCCCACGTTGGGCTCCCTGTGAGGAGCCGGCTTCTCCCTCTTCTTGTGTCTCTGCCTCTCTTTCTGTGTGTCTCTCATGAATAAATAAATAAAATCTTTTTAAAAAATGAAAATCTAAAAAAAAAGAAAAAGAAGAAGAAGAAAGAAACAAACGCAGACACGAGCTGACATGGACAAAGAGAAATAACAGTGACAGGCAGAGGAAGATGGAGAGACACAGGGACACAGATACAGAGGAAGATAGGGACAAGGAGAGTCAAAGGAAGACCACAACACGTACGGAAGAAGACAGACATAGCACGAGAGACAGAGATCCAAAGGGAAACTAACAGGGAAAAAAAAAAAGACAGAAAAAATAGGCGGAGAAAAAGGAGACTCCAAAAGAGAGACCTAATGAGAGAGCCTGTGAGAGAGCGGGGGCGGAATTGAAAGACAGGTGATAAAACCAGGCAGAGATTTTGAGGAACAGAGACATAGGTAACCATTCAGCGAGAAATCGAGAGCTACTTAAGGCAGCTCAGGGACCCCTTGGGACTGAGAAAGCCCGGGAGTGCCTGGAGTGGGTAGGGGCAAATGGGGGTGGGGAAGCGGGTGGGGATCCAGCCTCACTCTTGGCCTCTTAGCTGGAGCGGAGGGTGAAGGACATCGTGATGGAGACGATCCAAAACTACCACTCGCGACCGGAGGAGTCGGCCGCGGAGGAGAGCTGGGACTACGTGCAGTTTCAGGTGCGTGCGGTACCCACTTGCGGGGGCGCGAATCCCTCCCACCAGCTCTGGGACTCTGGCGTAGCTCCGCCCCCTGCCCGGCAGGCTCTGCCCCGACGAAGCTGGGGGCTCTCAGCTCCCGGATCCCGAGGTAACCTTGCCCCACCCACCCCACCTCCGGCCAGCACAACGTGGCCTCGCCAACAGAAAATAACATAACCGACTCCAGATCCTGGAGAGGCTCCGCTTTCCGTCCCGACGAGACTCCGTCCTCAGCCCCAAGGCCCTAGCGTGACCCCACCCTCTAATCCTTAGTGACTCTGGTCCCCACGGGCCCCGGCCCACCTGAGGCTCCACTCCCCGGTCATTCACGTGGCCCTGCCCTCCCAGCTGCATGTCCCCTGCCTGAGGCTGAAATGCACTGCCCACCCAGTCTTCGGTCCGCAGCGTGATTCTGCAGCTCCTCCCACAGCCGCAGGTTGCCCGCGATTCGTCTCTCCCAACCCCAAGTTCCCCTAAGGTCCCCAAGCCTAGCCCGCCGTCCCCCCCGCCCTGCGCCCAATACTTGGCCCTCTGCTCCCCAGCACGACCTCATACATATCACCGAGCCCCCGCCCCTCTGACTCCCGTGCTTCTTCTAGCTGCGCTGCTGCGGCTGGAACTCTCCCCGGGACTGGTTCGGTATCCCCAGTCTCAGCAGCAACGCGTCGAACGTGCATCGCGTGCCCTGCTCCTGCTATAATTCATCGGCGACCAACGACTCCGCAATCTTCGAGAAGCTCTCCTTCCCCCAGTTCAGCCGGCTCGGACCACAGGCGCGGCCCCGCCACAGCACAGACCTTTGCCGGGTTCCCGCAAACAGCAATATCTACAGCGAGGTGGGGAGGGTTTGGAGACCTCTGGAAAGGGGCGGGGCCTGCAAGGGGGCAGGGCCTGGGTAGAGGCGTGCTTCCTCCAAGAGGCGGAGCCACAGGGCGTGGGCTGGGTCCACGGGGTGGGGCTACGAGAAAGCGTACATCTGGAGGGGTGTCGTTCGTAGAGACCCGGCCTAAAAAAGGCCTGAGTGAAAGGAGGCTGGGACCGAGTGAGGTGGAGAGACTAGAAAACCCTACTCACTAGGGATGCGGGGCGGTGCCTGAAAGAGTAGTTGAAGGCTGGACTGAGAACAGTGGGCACAGGTTTGAGGGCGAATCCCACAAAGAACTGTACTTTTAACCTTTCCCCCCACACCCCCAGGGCTGCGCGCAAAACCTCCAGAAGTGGTTGCACAACAACCTCATCTCCATAGTGGGCATTTGTCTGGGCGTCGGTCTACTTGAGGTAATTTGGTCCCGCCCCCACTCGCGACTGGCCATACAATCCCTAGATGGCCCCACCCCAAAGTGCGCGTCCTCCCTTTCTCCGGGAAAGGTGGTGCCTGCGTGACAGAGCGTCAGCCAATCCAGGCTCTCCTGCCTCTCCACCTGTACGAGGCCGACCTACCCTCTGCGTGTCCTGATTGGTTGCACGCAGGAAGTAGGCGTTCCCGCCCGCCCTTGCGAAGCTCCCATTGGCCCTCCTTGGGGTAGTCCCCCCGCCTTTAGCCACAACACCCGTCCCCTTTCCCTGCAGGTGAGTGTGGCAGGGCTGAGCCTGCTACTACTGCGCAGGGCGCTCCGCCGGGAACGCCAGCTGCAGGTGCTGGGCGCCTGTGGTTCGAGCCCCGGGCCTGGCCCGAGTGCTGATGGCGGCGGCGGGCGCTGTGGTGTGCTGAGCAGCAGCGGGCGTAGCGGCGGTCTGTGGGGTGGCTGGGGCATGGCTGATGCCTGTCCCAACTGGGGGGACAAGTCCCCACAGAGCAAGCTGCCCATGACCCTGGGGCCCTGGCCACTTTGGGATCAAGATGAGGAACAACCTGAGACTGGGAGCGCGGGCGCGGAGGTGGAGGTCGAGGCGGAATTAGCGACCGAGGCAGAGGGGGAGACAGAAGAGCCTCCGGAATAAAGTACCCTGGGCTAGCTCTGGGTCTCACTCCTTCCCAGGCTCTAAGACTGCGCTAGACGCAGCTAGATACCCCCTACCCCACACTATTCCCATCTTTCCATCATCTCTACTCCCCCGCAACTTTGGTAGCATACTCCAAGGGGTATGCTACCAAGGCCCCAAATTCCCATCCCTGATGCCATCTTTCACAACCTGGCGGAGCTCCCCCTCTAGCACCACCCTTCTCCGCCCCTCCTACGACCCCACCCCGCCCAAGTCTCCGCGCTGAATTTTCTTCCTCCTACCCCAGCGCCACCTCTTTTATTCTCTCGGGACCCCCACCATCCCCACCCCCATCCCCCTCGCCGGCACCCGGTGGACCTCTCTGACCAGGTCTCCTTTCTCTATAGCTCAGCTTCATGACGCTCTCGATATTCCTGTGCAGAAACATGGACCAAGTCTACGACCGGCTTGCTCGGTACCGCTAGGCCCCACCCCTTCAAGTGCCCTAGGGGCTTCCCTGTGGTCTGTAAATATTTGTTCAATCCCCAGTTCGCCCCAGCCATTGAGTCCTCTACCTCCTCATTTCCCCGGGGACCCAGATATCTGCCTGACCAGCTGCTGTCACCTCTCCCGCGGGACCTGGGGCTTCCGGCCACCAGCTTCCTGCCCCCAAAGATACCTCATTTCCTTGACTCATCTGTTGGCTTACCACCTCCCACAGGATTATTTTTCGCCCAAACCCCAAATAAATCCCCTGCGTTTTGGTAAAATAGTTTTATCCTCTGTCAAAACACAAACCAACACACTTTGCGGGTGAGGGGAGGCAACACAGTATTATAGCCCATGTCTTATTGAGGAGAGGGTGAGATTTAAAAGCCTCACCCCACTGCTTGCCCTGCTGAGAGAAAGTCACGACCCTAATACCCACTTATAAATATCTCTTGTTATATTAAAAAAAAATATTTCCAGGGCCCACCTGGCTCTGCTCCTGCACAAAGGGTTAACCTTCAATATTTGATCACAGGGTGGTGGTGGGGGTGGTAAGGAGAGGCAGGTTGGGAAAGGGGGAGGGGATTGCTGAAAAACAGAGGGACAAACCGACATATCTAAGGCCCTCCAAAACATCCAGAACCAAGTTGGGGGGGGGGCGCCTGTTAGAGACTGAGAAACCAGTGCTGTACCTCGGGGTTGTCTCACTCCTGTCCCCAGTCCCTGATGCTCTGGAGTGATCTGTCCTTTCAGACACCACTGTGAGGTCCCAATATCAGGATCCATCTTTTCAACTCACCACCCAGCTGTAAGGTCCCCTCTAACACAGAGCAGCCCCCTCCCCAAACAAGCACAAAGAAAGCTGGAGGTCCTTCCTGGGAGGTGGGTATTCCGGGGGGGGGGGAGCGTGCCACTTTTGGGGTCCCCTTTCAGTCCCTGACCAGACGGTAAATGTGGTGCTGGGCCCCTCGCTCACTGGTGGAGACCTCAAAGACGTAGGCGGTGCAGAGCAGCAGCTCCTGGGTGTCTCTGTTTGTCACCACCTGCCAAGGAGGCCAAGAGAAAGGGCTTATGCAAAAAAAAAGGGGGAGCAGGGTGTCCATGGGATACCTGGGAAAGAGGTCCCCACCATATCACATTCCCTAGGCAGAGGCCACACCAAGCATATCTGTTTCCCCATTTGAGTGTTGGCAGTGAGGGGCCTCACATCAGATGGCAGATCAAAGTTAACCAAAGTAGGGGCACCTGGTGGCTTAGTCGGTTAGGCGTCCCAACTCTTGGTTTCGGTTCAGGTCATGATCTCAGGGTCGTGAGATCGAGCCCCACATCAGGCTCTGCTCAGTGCAGAGTCTACTATAGATTGTTTCTCCCTCTCCCTCCAGCTCTCTCTTTCTCAAATAAATAAAATCTTCGAAGTTAACCAAAGTTAAAGGGGATCCCACCATAGCATGTTCCCTGGGCTAAGGTTAGGTTCCCTATGAGGGGGGGTCCCTTAAACTGAGGATCCACCATGGGATGTCCTCCAAATCAGTTTCCCCACTGAGGGGAGGATCCCCCTAAATGAGAGTGCTGTGGAGTCCCCACCATATCAGTTCCCTGGGCAAAGGGGTCCCCTAAGCAAAGGCTCAATTGTGGGCTTCCCCTGTGTCAGTTTCCCAGGTGAAAGGGTCCCAGGGCTGAGAGGATGTCGTGGGCACTTCCCACCACTTCAGCTGCCCTGCTCGGCCCCCAGTGCCTCACCTGGAGGATGGTGAAGTTCTCCAGGACGCTGTTCATCATATAGCGCTCGGGCAGCTGTCGCAGTTTGTGCAAGAAATTCACCAGGTACTCACACATGGGTGAGCGCAGCAGGCGGTACACAAACCTCCCGTCCTCCAGCTGGGCACGCTCCGTCTAAACCGGGAGGGGATACACAAAGTGGGGAGGACAGTGACTGAGACACAAGGGTTGCCCCAGGCACTCTATCCCTCTCTGATGCCACACCCACTCCCCACTGCCATCATCCCCCATGGCCTCATCCCTGGTGAGCAGAGAGGAGACCTGCACCCATGGATATGCAACTTGGGATCCCTGAGCCTGCAAACCAGGGACCCCTCCAGCCTCTCAAAACTGTGCTCTGAACCCTCAAAGACCTCTGAATTGCTCTGACCTCCAGGCCCTCAGATACCCTCACACCCTCGAAAGACCCCTCCACTAGATCTCCAAACTCTATACAACCTCTGAGTTCAAGACCCCTCAAGCTCTGAGCAATCCCTAAGTGTGACCCCTGAACCTCCTTGCCCATTTTAGTGACTATAAATCTATGTACCACACATTACCTTTGAACCCTCAAAATAACCCCAACATGTGACTTTGGAATTCAATATCAGCTCTCAGCCCATGCATTAATTAAACCGCCAAAAAGGATAGAACACTCCCCACCCCACCACACAGACACCTAAGTGCAAGAGCCCTTGTGGCTTTCATCCTTTAGTCTGCACCCCCAAAGTGGCAGCTGGCTGGGCGCTCACCTGCCCAGAGCTCCACCCCTCCAGCCTCACCTCCACCTTCTCCACCACCTGCTTGCCAAAGGAGCAGACCTTGGAGGAACAGGTGAGGGTCATGTGCTCCAGGCTCTCGTACTGGCTGCTCACTCCATAGAAGCCACCGCTGCTGCCACTGGTCCCTACCTCCTCACCACTCGGGCCCCAGTTGAGGTCCGCCTGGGAAATGGGGAGGCACAGGTAGGTTGGAGAGGGCATTCCTTATAAATAGTGGGGACTCCTCTAAAGTGGGAACTCTGATCCATGGCCTGGTTCCCCCATAGCCCTGCAATTGCCCACCTGTCTTTCTCCTCTCCACCTCTCCATGGGCATGTTTCTGGAAAACACTCATTCTTCCATAAGTACTGGAGAAGGCTGGCTCCCTAAAGTGGTCCTGACCCTCTCTCTCCAGTAACAACCCTCCCCCAACAAAGGGGCCCTAGAATTCAACTTTCTTCTCTTTTCACGACCCTGGTTGCTAAGCAAGTGGCTACTCCCAAGGAAAGGGGCCTGAAGGGGTTAAGGGTCTGCCTTTGGCTTAGGTAGTGATCCTGGGGTCCTGGGATCAAGTCCTGCATCAAGTCCCCCGTAGGGAGCCTGCTTCTCCCTCTGCCTATTTCTCTGCCTATCTCTGTGTCTCTCATTAATAAATAAAATCTTAAAAAAAAAAAAAAAAGAAAGAAAAAACGAACACTTTATAACCATGGTTGCTAGGGGCCCAGCAAAGCCAATAAATTTCAAGCCCTCGGCAGCCTTCCTTCTCAGACTCTAGATCATGCCACAGCTCTGGTTAACAAGAGTTAACACCCCCTAAACATTCATAACATTTATTGGACTCCTACAGCATCAGCCACTGTAGCTGACACCCAATCAAATGGGCCTAAGAAAAACCCAAGATGGATCCTCTTATTCACAATTATACACATGGCACTTGGCATAGAGCCTGTAATACAGTAGGTGCTCAATAAATGATTGTTAAATAAATGCTTTCACAGAGCCCCTCCCAGGTCCTTCAGTCACTTTCTCAAGGCCAGACATTTCTCTAGCAACAAGATCTGGTGGCACTATGTTCTCTTCAGAGACCAAATTCCATGCCTCTATTTGATAAGAGATGAGAGCTATTCCTTAGCAATAAGGCTTCATGTGGCTGGGTGGGATGCAGGGAAGTCTGAAATGTTGCACGGCAATCTGCACCATATATGACTAGTTGTGGCAAAGTCTAGTGGGATCTGGGGAGGTCCAAGTCCTATCCCTACATGTGTACTGCTCCTATCTATCCTGCCTTGGGGTAAAACTCCTTGGTGTTCCTTATAACATGGAGGTGCTAACACTCTGACCCTGAGGAGCTGGTCTCCCTTAGAGCCACAGGCCTTAGATGGGATGTCACGTGATCTGTGAGCACTTTGTTTTGGTGGCCGAACTCACCCAGAACTTGACCAGGAAGAAGGCGTGAGGGGGCCCGCGATCGTACAGCTCCCGAAGGCCACCCTTTTTCTCTGGGAACTTGTCATAGATCTGCCGGACGTCCACACTCTCGAGGGGGGGCGCGCCAGGGCTGGGGCAGTGCTGGCTGATGTGTACAAACAGGTGCCTCTGGTACTGAGAAGGGTGGGCCATGGGTGAGGACTGGGAGATGGGCTGGACCCCTGGTACTCACTGCCCCCAATTCCCACTGCTGTTTCACACTGTCCACCCAGACATGGGGCCTGACTCCCAAGCACTTGTCACCACTCCCTTCTGCCCCATAGCACCACAGTCCCCAAGTCCTATCCCCTGCTCTCCATCCCCACAGCCCTGTCCTCTCCATCTCTCCCCAGCCTCCTCCCTGGCCTCCCAACCTCCAATCTCTACTCTCCAGGTCATCCTTCACAGACCCTCAGCACTAACTGTGGACCTCTCCTGCTCACAATCTTCCTGTGGCTCCCCAGAGCACCCAGGACATAGCCCACACCCCCTCAGCCTGGTCCTATACTGAATAGGTGCTCCCAAATGTTCAGTCAATGGATGGATGGATGGATGGATGGATGGATGGATGGATGGAACGAATCCACAGAGCCCACATCAGGACTCCCTATCTGTCCCCATTCTTATCACTTCTTGTCCATATTCTGAAATTCTCATACCTTCCCCATCTTTTCTTTCATTACATATCCTCCCTCCCTCTTCCAAGGCCCAAGTCTATGCAAATCTGACTCTTCCTGGAAGCCTCACTTGATCACAATCAGATGATTCACAATCACCTCTCTTTTCTAGAGTTCCCCATCACCCTCAGGAGAAAATCTGGATCCCTCAGGTTGGCAGTGCCAGCTCCTCCAGAACCAGCACCTGCTCACCTATCTGTAGCCTCATCAGCTCCCACCTTATCCAATTATTTGTTTCCCTGAAAACTTCACGCTGTTTTCATCTCTATACCTGGAACATAAAGTTCTGTGCATGGCAAACTCCTATATGACCCTCAAAGCCCAACCCAAACGTTGTCATCTCAGGGAAGCCTTCACTAATTTCCCAGGCAAAATGACTCTTCTGTACACCCACAAAAACTTGAACTTCCCCTATCCCAGCACATACTCATTGTCCAATAGACATCTATTGAGAGACCTACTGTGTGCGGGCACTATTCTGGGTCCTAGGGCTACAAGGCAAAGTCCCTGGCCTCATGGAGTTCTCATAGAGTCTACTGGCAAAGACAGAAAATTTTAAAAATCAACCCATGGGCAATATAAATTTCAGAGTGATGAATGCTATGAAAAAAAATCCCAAAGAACAATAGTAAAGGGGTTGAGAGTGACGGCAGCCAGTATTTTCCATAAATTGGTCTGGGAAAGACAATCTGAAAAGATAAGCAAAAGCCTGAATGAATGGAAAGAGACAGTGGTGGTATCTGAGGAAACATATTTCAGGTGGCAAGAATAGCAGATACAAAAGCCCTGAGGCAGGAGTTGGCCTGGTGCGCTTGAGAAAGTGCATGGAGTCCAGTGTGACCAGAGCAGAGTGGGCAAGAGTATAAGGGCAGGAGGTGAGGATAGAGCAGGAATGGGGGTCAGATAATGCAGAGCCTTGTGGGTAACTGAGAGGACTTTACCTTTGCTCCAAGTGAGATGGGAGGGTTTCAAGTTGGATTTTATAAGACCACCATACATAGCAATTGGTATTTATGTAGCTGTGGCAGAGACTGCTAGGCGTTCACTACCCAATTCCTTTTCACACAGCTAAACTACACTTCCCAGAGTCCTTTGCAGTTAGGTATGGCCACATGACTAAATTCTGGCCAATGGGATGTGAGCAAAACCTGATAGTTGCCAGACCCATAAAAACTCCTGCACACTTCTTGAGTCTCTCCATTCCACCATCTGCTGGCCAGATGCAGGGAACCCAGCAGCAGATTCTGAAGCCCTAGAAAAACGTCAGAACCACAAAATGGAAGGAGCCTGAATTCCTGGAATCACTGTGTGGAAGGGTCCTACTAAACCCCTACACTAAAATGTTACATGAGTAACATTTGTTCATTCCCTGAGGGTTAGGATTATTTCTTCTAACAGTCAATAGCCCGCCGGGACTAATATGACATCTGTCTTCATCCTAGACCAGGAAAAGCTCAAGCCTGTGAAACAAGATCTGCTTTTCCAGGGGCCACTGGTGGCTCAGTGGTTGAGCATCTGTCTTTGGCTCAGGTCATGATCCTGAGGTTCTGGGAAGGAGTCCCACATCAGGCTCCCCACAGGGGCCCTGCTTCTCGCTCTGCCTGTGTCTCTGTCTCTGCCTCTCTCTCTATCTTTCATGAATAAAGAAAATCTTAAAAAAAAAAAAAAAAAAAAGATCTGCTTTTCCAGGTTCCCAGTATCCACCACAAAGCCTGGCACAGTAGGCCCTCAAAAATGGCTGCTGAATTAACAAGCAATGACCTGGGGAGTTTCGCTGACCTTCCAAACCGTGACCCCAGGACCATCCAGTTCCTCCACGCTAGCAGTTCTCAAAGCGTGGTCCCCAGACCAGCAGCATCAATACCGCCTGGGAGAATGTTAGAAATGCAAATTCTCAAGCCCCACACCAGATCTACTGAATCAGAATTTGAAGGTTTCAACAAGCCCTCCATGTTATTCTGATACAAGCTTAAGTTTGAGAACCACTGCTTTATTCTTTCCCTTCCTATCACCCTTACATTTCAAAACCCCCTCCCCGCATCACCACTGCCCCGACAGGGACTCTTCTAAAATTGCACTCACAGAATCAACTGCATCGGGCGGTTCCACAAAGGCTGAAAACTCCACCAGCTGCAACCGGGCAGTGCCCAGGGCCCGAGCCTGCCAGGCTGGGGGTGATGGGGCAGGTGGGGGCAGGGCAGGGGGTGACAGGGCTTGGGGAGGCTCGTACCCTAGAGAGAGAAAAAAAAGGAACAATAAAAATTGCTAACATGTGTGAAATACATCAAGTACTCTTCTCTCTTGCCTGCCTCTGCTTAGAAGCTAAAAAAGCTAAATACTCACTTTCCCAGCCTCCCTTGCAACTAGAGATGGCCATGTGACAGAGTCCTGGCCAATGAGACGTTAGGGAAAATCTGCTGAGGGGCTTCTGAGAAGGAGTTTCTTCCTGAATGAAAAAGACAGAACTTTGGGAGGACAAAGCTTTTGGCCCTGGCCAAGTCCTGCTTGAGACATGATGCCTGGAATCACAACAGCCATCTTGGGACAATAAGAAAGAGGCCAAGGGACCTATAGAAATGCCAGTCCCGATAATGCCGAGCTGCTGAGCCAGTATAGGAGCACCCCACCTCCAGACTTTTTGTCATGTGAAATCACTAAAGCCTTTATTATTTAAGGCACTATTAATTTGGGCATTCTGTTACTTGCAGCCAAAAGCACTGCAAATTGATAAATCTGTGGAACCTGAAGGTACTCTTTCACCAATGTGAGTTCTTAGAACCACATCAGCATGGCCTGATGAGAATGAAGCCACCACACACCACAGGGGAAAGCAGAACCAAGCAAATCTGACACTACCATCTAGCCCCCTGGATCCAGCCATGCCTGAAGCCATCCAGCCACTCTTGAAACATCAGTTACCTAAACCAATAAATTCCTTTTGAGTTTCTGCCACTTGCAGCTGAAAGAATCTTGCTTGATATACTTCCCCAGTGTCCTTTAGGATAGCAAATGGCAGAACACAAACCCAGTGTGTCTAAATTCAGAGGCTATGGTCCTAAGCACTCCAAATGCTATCACTCATCTTCCTTCCCATATCTCTACAAGCCTTGCCTCAGATCTGGACCTCTGTAGAAATGCATGCCCTGATTCATGGAAGGTGAAGGAAAGGCAGTTGGGGTTGAGGAGAGAGGGGAGATGAGGAAGGTGCAGAGCAGACTCTTACCTGGGAGGTCAGTAGATGGGGGGGTCAGTGACAAGAACGGTGTCTGTGAGAATGGCTTCACACTAAGGGAGAAAGGAAGCTGGGGGTCAGTGAGGTAGAAAGATAACTGTACCAGTTAATGATTACCAAGGGCCACCACAAGCCAAACCCTATGCAAGCACGTAATGTGCAAGAGTTCATCAAATCCTCACAGCCTCAGAGGTTCAGTGCAATTACCACTCTTCCCATTTTGTGGAGGAGGAAACTGAGCCTCACACAGTCACAGAGCTGGGGCACAGCAGAGCCTGGGCTCAAATCCAAGCCACTCCCCAACTCCAAAGCCTGTGGTCGTGTTGATGGTATTTTGGTGCCTCTCACCAACACGGTGGAAAGAGAAAAGCAACAGGATCTCAAGAGGTGGGGGGGAAAACACAAATAGGCAATGTGGAGAAAGAGGAGGATGAATGGTCACCAAGGGTCAGGAGAGATGGGACATCAGTCCCAAGTTCAGGGTGGGGAAGCAGCACAGCAGAATCTAAATGTCCAGTTTAGATTCTGTCCAATGCAGCTTCCTGCAATGATGGACATGTCTTATTATCTGTCCTACCCAGTACAGTAGACACTGGCCACAAGTTGCTACTCAGCACATGACACGTGACACTGAACACAAATGTGGCTAGAGCACCAAAGGGACCGAATTTTTATTTTAATTTTAACTGACTTAAAATTCAGTAATGGCATGTGGCCCGTGACCACGCTATCGGACAGCACAGCTCAAGAGGCCAATCACCTATGGGTAGCTAAGGAGATGACTGAAAGGTCAGAGGCCATGGAGATAACACTTGGGGTCAGAGGTCAGGAAGAGGTCAAGAGTCAAAAGACCAGGGGTACCTGGCTGGCTCAGTCCGTAGAGCATGAGAGTCTTGATCTCAGGTTTCTGGGCTCGAGCCCCATGAATGATGTAGATAGAGATTACTTAAAAATAAAATCTTTTTTTAAAAGACTTTTTAAGTTTAATTTTATTTATTTATTTGAGAGAAAGAGAGAAAGAGAGCAAGCACGAGCACAGGGGAGGGATGGAAGGAGAAGCAGACTCCCTATTGAGCAGGGAGCCGAATGTGGGACTCCATCCCAGGACCCTGGGATCATGACCTGAGCTGAAAGCAGACACTTAACCAACTGAGCCACCCAAGCACCCTAAAAATAAAATCTTAAGGGGTACCTAGGTGGCTCAGTCAGCTAAACGTCCAACTCTTGATTTTGGCTCAGGTTGTGATTTCATGAGTCATGGGATAAAGCCCCACATCAGACACGGTGCTCAGTGATGAGTCTGCCTAAGATATTCTCTCTCTCTCTCTCTCTCAAATAAATACATAAATAAAAATAAGGTAAAATACAACCAAATCTTTAAAAATCAATAAATAAAATAAAGTCTTTAAAAAAATTAAAATTTAAAATTAAAAAAAAAAAAAAAAGGAGTCAAAAAACCAGAATTAGAAAGACACAAATTCCAGGAACCTTCAGACCTCCACTCCTGGGGGCCTTGCCCTAATACTCAGCATCCCAATTCTGAAATCTAAACTCCAGGACCCTATCCTGACTTGATTTCTTGTTATCAGGGCTGCTGGCCAAACACCACCTCCTCAGACAGGCCTTTCTTAACCTCTATTTTTTTTTAAGATTTTATTTATTTATTCATGAGAGACACAGAGAGAGAGAGAGGCAGAGACACAGGCAGAAGGAGAAGCAGGCTCCCTGCGGGGAGCCTGATATGGGACTCGATCCCCGGGACTCCAGGATCACACCCTGGGCCAAAGGCAGGTGCTCAACCACTGAGCCATCCAGGGATCCCCCTTAACCTCTGTCTAAATAGGGCACATACATTTTGTTTTATTTTCCACATTTATTCCTTTCTTGTGAATGCTTGTTTACATGTTTATTGTCGGTCTCCTCCCCGCTCCAAATATGGAAGCTCCATGAAGGCAGGGATCCAGGCTTACTTGTTTAATGCCGTGTCCCAACTAAGCAGAGTACCAGGCACTTAATAAGTGCTCACTAAACATTCAACTGACTGGCCGGTGCCAGAATACCTTCTCTCATTTCCTGGAACTCACCAAATTTTCCTACCTCAGGGCCTTGGCACATGCTGTTTTCACTGCCTAAAATATTCCCAACCCCCATTCTTTACCTGGCTAAGTTCTATTCTGCTTTCAACATTACCTCCTCACAGAAACCCCCAGAACTCTCTCCTTCAACCCAGAACCTGTTGCAGTTCTTCACACCACATCACATACTCTTCAATTTTGTGTTTAGACAGGTGATGATTTAACATGTCTCCCCTATTTGACTATCAGCTCCCCTAAAGGTGGGACCTCACTGTGGAACCACTCTCCTTCCAGCTCAACCCTCTCCCTGCAAACCTGCAGGGAGGATTTGTTCTGACCCTTTCCTGGCTCCCAGCACCTCACCGGGGACATGTCGTCTCTCCCTGGAGCCTGGATACAGCATATCACTTCACTCTCTCTGGCAACACCCTCAACACCACTCCTCACTGTCCTGTGGCCACACTGCCCTACCAACACCCTGCCTGGATCCACTAGCTCCTCTCTGGACTGAAAACTGCCCTTCCTATGAGTCTCTGGAGCCTGTTTCTATTTTTCTAGGCAGCAAACACATTCTGTGACCCTCAGGATTCTCTCAGAGCTGAAATGGACATTCCCATGCACCTCAGGGACCCATTTTCTTCCTTTGACCCTGAAAAAAGATACCTGCCCTCCCCGCAGGCCCAAGAACACCTCTACGGGATGAGAACAAGCCTTTCCGTGAGCTTCTGGAACCCAGCCAATCTCACAGGGATGCCATCATCCCCATGGACATCCTCCTAGCTCCCGCACATTCATCCAGTCCCACACTGAACTCCTTTCTTCCCCTAAACCTGCTCCCTCCCCAAGGTCACCTGTCTCTGGACTGCCACCAACCCCAGTCACCACAGACCCTGGGCCCTGCCCTTACCTCCTCCCTCCTTCTCAGCCTATGAGGCACCGTCTCTTGACTCTCTCATCCCTGCTTCCCACCACCCCCCCTCAGTATCCCAGCTCGGGCCTCATCTTTCTCTCCAGACCCTCACCCCAGCCTCCTCTCTGGGATTCAAATCCAGAGAGCTGCAGAATCCATGGCCATGAGGAAGCTGGGAGCTAGAAAGTGGGGTAAGAAAGGTCTGTGCAGAGGGAACGGGGGATGTTGGGGTGCTGAGCCAGAACAGGAAGTACTCACTCTGGAACATTCCAGGGGGGGCCAGAGCCCCCTGACCAAAACTGGAAAAGCTCAGAAGCCTGGAAAAGAGACAAAGAAGGGGGCACATCAGTCAGTGCCCTGTCAAAACCACAGCCCCACCCCTCCAGGTGTAAGCCCCATGATCACTCAGCCACCTGGGGACCAGCAGGACCCAGTTTGGCCTGCAGGGAAGGTGCTGAGATGAGCTGGGCTGACGACATGGTGGCCATGGTCTGGAAAGCCTTGTCCTTGGAGACCTGGTCCTGGAAAAGGAGAAGTCAGGGGTCTGTGTTAACGGGGAATCCCAGTCAACACAGCAGGGGTACATCGATGCCAGGGAGGGCAAGCATGGGGAGATGCAGAGCTGGGGAGTCAAGCAAAGGTTTGGGGGAGGGCACACATCCTTCTTTCTACAGCCCCCCTGCCCCTCCTGGCCCCCTCAGGAATTTCTGGGGTAAAGGAGCGGGTGGGAGGATGGGCAGGGGGACTTACCACATTCAAGGCCTGCCCGTGGGGGTGGGGGAGGGTGCCAAGGGAGGAAAAAAAACATGACTTAGGAAGTGAGGCCTGGATTCTCACCTTCCTGCCCTCCCAACCCCTACAATTCCACCACCCTGAGCTGAAAAAAAGGGAGGTAGGGAGAGCAAGGATGGATAAGGAACAGTTAGTGGAGGGGCCCAGACCAAGAGGGCAAAAGGGGTTCCTATACCCAGAATAAAAGACAGTATACAGTATCAGGGTTTCTAGGTCAAAAAAGAGCTGGAAGGGAAGATTTCCGGATATGTAGGTAACAGGAAGTGGGAAGTTCAGGCCCAGAGGGGATGAATAGGCAGGCAGTGAACATGTCCTGGCCCAGACAGGACAGAGACAGGACCATAAGGTCCAGAAAAGACCAGAAGTGAAGGTTTGTTAGACCTGGAGATAAAGCAGGGGGAGGCTTCTGGCTACCAAAAAAGAAAGAAAAAATAAAAGGAACAGGAAGTCATAGTTCCCAAATCCAAAGGAAGAGGCAGAAAAGACCCCACACCCAGAGGAGAAGAAAATGAGGGTCTCAGGCCAAGAGGGAACCAGAAATCCAATGGATGAAGAAAAAAGGAGGTGAACATTTCCAAACAAAATGAGGATTTCTGGACATGGAAATGACAGGCAGGGCAGGCGGAGGCTGAAAGATGGGGAAATGAACCAGAAAGAGATGAAGAGGAGAGCCTCCTGGCACAAGAGGGGGAAGGAAGGACACCAGGAGGAGGAAGAGGAGGAGGAGGAGAGGGAGGGAGGGAAGACAGCAGTAGCCAGAGGAGAGGCCCGACACCCAAACCTTCTTGCCTGTCCTGAGCTGCATCTCTGGCCCCCTCTCTCTAAGAATCTCTTCCTCACCCACTTGTCAGGCCAGTAACCCTTCACCTCGGATCTCTACTTCCTCATTCTGCCTACCTCTCCGTGGGACTCTGGCCCCATCTCTGGTTCTCTGTTACCCACTCTGAGTCTTCCTGTCCCCCTTACTCTGGATTTCTGTTGGACCTCTCCTCTGGGTCTGTCCCCCTCTCTCTGGATCTCTGTCCCCCTCTCTGGGTCTCTGTCCCCTTCTCTCTGGGTCTCTGTCCCCCTCTCTCTGGATCTCTGTCCCCCTCTCTCTGGATCTCAGTCCTCCTCTCTCTGGGTCTCTGTCCCCCACTCCCCCCACTCTGGATTTCAGTCCCCCTCTCTGGGTCTCTGCCCCCGTCTCTCTGGGTCTCTGTCCCCCTCTCTCTGGGTGTGTCTGCCCTGGTCCCTACCTTGAGCTTGGACTGGATCTCCCTTGATTTCCTTCGAGCCAGAACCTGGATGTGACTAGAAACCTGGGGGGAAGTGACAGAGAAGCAGATTCAGGCCACAGCTACTCACCCCTTGAATCTCCTCTCCCATCCCACCCTCCAGGTGGCCCCCAGAACTCCCGGAACGTGAAAGATGACAAACACACAGAACATGCTAGCTATCCCAGGTACATGCCAACACACATGTGTCCACAGAGGCTAGTCTCTTCTCAGTAACACTACCGATCTTCCCCAGACCCAGCAAATCCGGCTCTCCTTACCCTTCATCGCCTTCTCTCTTTGGGTCTTTCAGTCTCTCTATCTTACTCTCTAACACAACTGGTCAGAGATCCAGACCAAAACAGGCAAAGGAGAGCATACTCTCAGAGGTGCCAACAAGACAGAACCAGATCCTCCTTGAACCTGAGCACGCCCATACCAGGATGGCCCCGAGAAGACAAGCCTGCCCCACAGAGAGCCCCACAAGTCAGTCCTGAGACCTGTTTGCGAGTCCGGGTCTTCCCTGTTCTCAGCTTGATGTAGCGGGCAATCAGTTCATTCCGACCTGAAGAGTCAAAGATGGGACAGAATCAGAGGTTTGCGGGACTCCCCAACACACAGGACACCAGGGAGGAAGAGAGAAGCAACGCTTGCCAGAGGTCTGCAAGCCACTGGGCTGCAGATCTCCTCAGCTCTACGGGAGAGGAGCCCGACCGCCTGGGTTCAAATCCCAGCTCCACCAGTTCTGTGACCTTAGGCAAACCTCTTAACCCTTCCATGCCTCAGTTTCCTCATCTATGCCAATAGCGATGCCGGCTCCTACTGAGTCCTAATCAGTGGGGGGCAGGGCCAAAGAGAGGGGCAGACTCACCATACATCTTGCCTTCATCAGACAGGATGATTTTCCGCCGGCCACATGGCGGGTAGATGGCCAGGGCCTCCTGGAAGCTCTGCTCGATGTCTGGGCTCCACACACCTTCTGCGTCTGGACCCCCATCTCCCCCAGCCCCCTCGCTGCCGCCGGTGCCCTCCTCACTTCCTTCCTCACTTCCTGTCCAGCCACTGCCATCGTCCAGGGGGGCCCCAGCCCGGGGTTCCCCCATTTGGGCCTAGAGGAACACAGAGCTCAGCAAGATTCCCCAACCCCTCCACCTCTGCCCCCAGAGAGACTTCAGGGTGTGGGGGCTGGGAGTTCAGATTGCTGGGTCTGAGGGAGGAGTGGGGGTGCTGGATTTCTGGATCAGAGGGAAGCAGGATGCTGGGGGCCAAGGTTCCTAGGTCCTGCAGGAGTGGGCTGGATTTCTGGGGGCGGCTTAGGATGAGAATGTCCTCTGTGTTTCCAGGTGAGCCTGGGTTGTGGTGAAATCTTGAAGACCCCAGAATCATGCCTGGGGCCCATGAGGCCCAAACCTTTCTTTGGGTATGAATTACTGGTTTAAAGAAGACAGGAGTCAGGGCCTAGCTGCAGGGAAGGGGGTGTGTGGATGAGATCTTCTCAGTCCCACCCCAAGAACAGGTGCTAGGATGTGAACAGCAGCTGCTAGAAAAGGAGGAGGAGGGGCCCAGACCCTAGGAGGACTGCGGTGGGGGGGGGGTGTCCAGAGAGAGGGGGACAGAGACCCAGAGAGAAAGGGACAGAGATCCAGAAAGAGGAGGGACAGAGACTCAGAGCAGAAACTCAAGCCCAGACCAGGAAAGACCCACAGAACCACAAACTGAGGGGCAGGGGCGCCCTGACATCAGGAGAGCCAGAACAAAGGGCCCAGGCGTCCCCTCCCCCAGTTTCCCACAACCCCCATCAGGGGAGGGGCTGGCTGGCGAGGGCACCTCCCCCTCTGGCCGTCGGCCCCGCCCCTTCCCTCCCCTCCCCCTGCGCCGTGGGCTCGGATCCAACTCAAGTTCCCAGTGACTTTCCGGAGGCCAGGAACAGGGGAAAACTTTTTCCAATACAGTCAGATCCCGCCTCCCAGGCGGCTCCACGTCTCCCACAGCTTTCCCAGGACCCCAGAGTCCAGGCTCCCATCCCCCTCCTCCCTCAGACCCTGGAGCCCAGGTCCAGACAAAGACCCCAGGCCGAGCCCAGTGGCGCCGAGGCGTTCAGGACCCTCGTAGGCCAAAATCCCAGCCCAGCTCTCCCCCATGTGGCCAGACAAAGGGACGGAGGAGCCGGGTAAGAAAGGTCCCCACAAATTTCCCGCCCCAGGCCCCAAACTTCCGAAGAAGCAAGACTGAAGATCCAGAAAGCACTGTAGCGAGCCCTAGGCCACCCCGGTGGCCTCCTTTCTCCATTAGGAGGACCAGGCGTCCACAAATGACACAGAGAAACCAACTCGGTCAGAAACACGCACAGGGTCCTTTCTCACCTCAAACCCACACCGCCGCACACACTCACACACCCCAGACACACCCGCCGAAGTCCCCAGCCCTCACCCACTCGCGAGTGCACAATCCCAAACTCAGACCCATCACCAGACACCCAACTCCGGCGAAAGTTCCAAACACCTCGCTAAGACTCGGTCGCAAGCGCAAACTCGGGCCCCCGGGCAAAAAGAGGGCCGCAAGCAATTCAGAGACGGTCCCACCAACACCGCAACTCAGAACGCGTAGCTTCCCACCCCAACTCACACACCCCAAAGCTGGATCCCCGACTCCCGCCGGCGCCTTCCTACCTCCCGGCCTGGGGCTGGGGAGCCGCGGGCGGGCGGGGCGCTGCGAGGGAGAAAGTTGCCCGGGAGCTTTGTTTGGGAAAAGTGGGAGGGACCGGAGGGGGGGCGGGCCCGCGAGCCGGACACAAGGAAGGGGGATCCGACGGTGACAGTTTGGAGGAGGATTTTTGCTTTGGCAAAAGGAAAGGTGAAGTCTAGCTTGGGCCTGGTAGGAACTTCAGGACTCAGATGCTTGCATCCCTGGGAGAGGAAAGGGATGGGGGATCCTGACTCCTAGGTCCCAGGGAGGAGGTTGATGGGGGCCAAGAAAACTGGGTCTGAAAGGGGAGGGGGCTGGGAGTCTGGACTTTTGACTACTCTCTAGTGTCTTTGTATGTTGCGGATGTGGAAGTGATAAGAACACAAAAAGATCTCTTCTGTTCGGCCTCAAGTATATTTTTGAAGATTGAGGTGAGGATGGGTTTTTGATTGGCTTCTAAGACAACGCAGTTTCCTGTGGGGAGACAACCTCGGTATCTCAGCGGACTCCTGGATCCTTAAAGATTTGGAGTTGGATATTCAAACTCAGGGAATCAGAGGGGCCTGTGGTCCGGACTCTAGGGCTTCAGAAGGGAGCCTGGATTTTGGACTCCTTGGAAGATAGAACATAGGACTGGATTTAGGTTTCCAGAGAGAGTGGGGCTTCTTAGAGGAACCGAAGAGGGTTCCAGCTCAGCGTCCCTCCATTGCATTCTGTTGAATGCAGTAATAGTTTCAAAACCCGGAGAAGACGAGAAAGGACACGGAGAAACTCTCAGAGATAAATCCCAAACTCAGGAGTGGATGAACCAGAATGTTCGGACCCGGGCTCTTCTTGAGCACTGGAAGCCTAAGAACGGAACCGAGGGGCCTGGCGGCGAGATCTGGGGCGAAGAGGAGTGGCCCAGGTGTGGGGGCACGGCGCTAAAGCAGGGGGCGTGGCCATCTGCGATTGGAGGCCGGACGCGAGTGCGAAGATCCGAGAATACAGGCCACACTTGGTCTTCGGGGCCGAGGGCAACCGACGGGGGCGTGGCCTGACGACGGAGGTGTGGTTAACGAGTAGAGGCGTGGCTTTGCCCTTATGGGCGTGACCACCCAATAGCGGGCCCCGCTCGCGGGTGAGGTCAGCAGATGGGGGCGTGGTCAGACAATAGGGGCGAGGCTAAGGCTCGCGGAGCTGATCCAACGCTCCAGGTATCCTGTCTGGGCTCGAGACCAGAACTGTTTAGATTTAACAGTCCGTGGACGGACCGCCAGAGTCTGAGAGTCCGGTGCCCGGGCTGTGGTCTAGCGTAAAGGCACGGCCCAGGAGAAGGGGCGGGGCGAGGGAGAAGGTGAAGAATGAGATCTGGGTATGAATGTGGGAGAAGCAGAGGAATGAGATTTGCAGGAGAGGCAGCGCCCGGGGGAGCTGGGGGCCTGGGAGAAGGGGCGGGGCCTGAAGCGATGGAGGGGGGGTGGGGGCAGAAGGACGGGGCGGGGGTTGTGGGCGGGGTGTGAGGAATTGCCCCGGCCAGGGATAAAAAAGGGTGCAGGTCTCGGGTGGGGGCGTGATTATTTAGGGTGTGGGGACTCTGACCCCTGCCGCTGCCACAGCCTCCCGGCCCGCCCCGCAATGTGGCAACCTCTGGTCCTGCTGCTGCTGTTCCCCTCTGCCCTGGTGCCCCCCTCCACTGCAGCCCCCATCCGCGATGCTGACGCCCAGGAGAGCTCCTCGGGTTTTCTAGGCCTCCAGAGCCTAATCCAAGGCTTCACCCGGCTTTTCCTTAAAGTGAGCAATGGCAAGCGTCGGAGTGGGGGGGGGGGGTAAGAAGAGGTAAAAACAGGGACGGCGGCAAATGGGGAGTGAGGGATGGCAGGGATTCAGAGAGACAGAATGGAAGATGGGTTGCGGCCAGACAGGACAGACGGGAAGAGGGGAAGTCAAGGGGACCGAGAGAGAGATGGATAGAGAGGGACAGGCAGACCGTGAGATAGGAAGAGCGGAAGGAAATCAAGCAGAGACGGGACAGCGACAAAAGACTGAATGGAAAGAGAGACTCGGAAGGAGAAGGGAATGATGGGGCCATAGAGACAACAGGACGCGGGCAGGGAGCGGGAACAAGAATAGGAAAATAATGGGACAGAATAGAGCCAGGACACATGGGATATGGGGCAGAAAGTCACCTGGTTAGGCCCTAAGGCTCAGAGGACAGAGAAGGAGCTGGGAGGTACATGGGGCAAGGCCTCCAGGATACCCTGGTAGGGCTTCAGATTTACGATTTACTGGGGAGTCTTGAGGTCCAACAGATCAATGGTCCCTCCTTTGGCCCCAGGATGACTTGCTGCGGGGCATGGACAGCTTCTTCTCAGCCCCCATGGACTTCCGAGGCCTCCCCAGAAACTATCACCAAGAAGAGAACCAGGAGCACCGGCTGGGGAACAACACTCTCTCTAGCCACCTACAGATCGACAAGGTGCCCATGCCGGGAAGTCCTTCCTGGAGTCTTCCCATGATCACTTGTGCTGCAGTATCTGTGGGGAGGAGGGCAGAGGAAGAAAGCGGTTTTGCTCTCACTCTCTCCTCCTGTCCTCACAGGTGACAGACAACAAAACAGGAGAGGTGCTGATCTCCAAGCAGGTGGTGGCATCCATTGAGCCGGGAGAGGGGAGTTTGGAGGGTGACTGGAAGGTTAGGACATGCCCCTGACAAACATGGGAAGATGGGTTGACACTCTCAACTGTTCGGTGCTGCTTCTCACAGGGCCTCAGTTTTGTCATCTGTCAAAGGGACCAACCAGCTCTCAGAAATGAGATTTACAACCTCATTTGTGTATATTCCCACTCGTTTAGTAAACCCCAGTTTTGTAAACCAAGAAGTGCTTTTAATTCCAAGTCCTGGGTAATCTTCACCCTTGTAAACCCGAAAATGTGTTTTGATCTCAAAGTACTCTGCAATCCTCCAAGTATTTTTTAATCTATCCCAAAGGGCTAAGCAGATCTCCCTCCCTCTCTCTCTCTCCAGACTTCAAAATGTGATTTTTTTTTGTTCCAAAATACTTTTTGAATCCCAAATGGTTTGTATATCTCATCTTTGTAAACTTCTAAGGGTGACGCTAACCACAAAATGCTTTTTTTTTAATCCTAAAACTTTTTTTTATCCTAAAACATTTTTTTTATCCTAAAACATTTTAAGAACCCCCATGTGGGTCTTCCACACACACCCAGGTTTTTATTTTTAAATTTTCAAATCCACAGAAGAGTTGAAAAATATATAATACAATAAGCCTGTATTCCTTTTTCCATAGAGCAGAGTTTCTCAACGTTAGCACCATTAGCATTTGGGGCTGGGTAATCTTTTGCTGGGGGGGGGGCATCCTGTGCACTTAGGACATTTATCAGCAGCCACTACTTCCACCCACTAGATGGGAGTAGCATCTCCCCTCCCCCACCAATTGTGACAACCCAAAATGCCTCTAGACTTCCGTTGAGAACCACTGGCCTAGATGCACCACTTGTTAACATTGTGCCACATTTATTTTTACTTTTGAACTGTGTGACAGTAAATGATTGATATCATGACACTCCACCCTTAAATTTTCCAGTGGGTATCTCCAAAAAGAATAATGCATTCGCCTGCACAACCACAGTATCATTTTTTACACCCCAGAAATTTCACATCGATACGCACACTTTTATCTCTGTGTTAGTTTGCTAGGGCTACCATAACAAAGTACCACAGATTGGGTGGCTGAAACAGAAATGTATTGTTTCCCAGTTCTGGAGGCTAGGTGTTCCAAGACCAAGGTGTCATCAAGCTGGTTCTTTCTGGGGCTGTGAGGAAGAATCCATTCCATGCCTCTCCCCTAGCTTCTGGTGGTCTGCTGAAAAATCTTTAGCATTCCTTGAAATGTAGAAGCATCCTCCCCACCCCCATCTCTGCCTTCATCTTTCATGGCCTCTCTGTGTACACTTCTGTGTCCAGATTTTCCCTTTGCATAAGGACGCCAGTTGTATTAGATTAGGGCCCACCCTAATGACCTCGTCTTAACTAATAAAATCTGCAGTGACCCTGTTTCCAAATAAGATCACATTATGAGGTGCTAGGAATTAGGACTTCAACATAGAAGGGAGGGTGGGGGAGCGGAGACACAATCCAGCCCATAACAATCTCCTACAGGACTTCTCAGAAAAATACAGACTCTGATTCAATAGGTCTGGGTGTCTGATTTGCTAATTTGTATGTCTAACAAACTCCCAAATGTTGCTGATGCTGCTGGTCCATAGCCCACGCTTTGAGTAGCAAGGACCAAAGAGACATTCAGGGCATACTCAAATATCCTGAAGAGGGACCAAAAGCTGTCCCTAAAGAGCTGATTTGGTCTTTGATCCAGGATTCAATCGAGGATCACACATGCAGTCATGGTCCTGCTTTACTAAAGCCAAGAGCTTTTAATCCCAAGGTGATTTGTACATTTCCAACTGCTTTCTAAACCTTAGAGTATGTTTAATCCTAAAATGCTTTTGAAATCTCGGAAAAGTGCTTTCGGTCCCAGAGCATTCTATAAATCTCAGGGTTTTTTTGTTTAATTCTAAAGTACTTGTAAACCCAGTGCTTTGTAAATGACAAAATGAGCTTTAAACTCCCAAAGCCCCGTAGGTGGCAAAATGGGTTGACTACACATGCCAGTGAAGACTTAGCATCCTGGGATTGTCATTTGGAATTTGAGAGGTTTCCTTGTCCTTCTTCCCCCAGGTACCCAAGATAGAGGAGAAGGAAGCCCTGATGCCTCTCCCGAAAGCCATCGACAGCTTCCACCCAGAACCCCATCCCCGAGTGGCCTTCTGGATAATGAAGCTGCCACGGCGGAGGTCCCACCAGGACATTCAGGAGGGTGGCCGCTGGCTCAGCGAGAAGCGACACCGCCTGCAGGCCATCCGGGATGGGCTCCGGGAGGGGAGTCACGAGGACAGCCTTGAAGAGGGGACCCAGGGGTCCTCCCACTCCAAGCTGCCAGCCCGCAAGACCCACTTCCTGTACATCCTCAGGCCCTCTCAGCAGCTATAGGGTGGGGGCTAGGGAACACCTGCATGTACCCCCCCAGCCAGACCCCACCCCAAGCACCATATGGAAATAAAGTTCTTACATCTAGCAGCACTTTCTCCTTTCAGGATCTGTCCCCAGGCCTCAGCCGACAGGATCATGGCAAGTCCCCTCAACCCTAGCCCTGAGAGTGTCATCTGGTCATGCCACCACCGGCTCTTGCCAAGATCTTCAGGCTCACTTTCCTCCCTCAGATGTTGTCTGTTTGCCCACTGAGCAATTCTCATCACCTCCAGCCCTAGCTGTCCTCCTGTTTCTTATTACTGCCCCAACAAGTGACCACAAACTGAGAATGCATATGTATTCTCCCACAGATCTATAGATCAGAAAACCAGGATGCCTCAGCTGGTCCTCTGCACAGGGTCTCACAAGATCAAAATCAAGGTGTTGGCCTGCTAAACTCTTATCTGGAGGCTGTAGGAGGAATCTGCTTATAAAATCATTCAGGTTAGGGGCACCTGGGTGGCTCAGTGGGTTAAGCGTCTGCCTTCCACTCAGGTCATGATCATGGGGTCCTGGGATGGAGCCCCGCATGGGACTCCCTGCTCAGCAGAGAGTCTGCTTCTCCCTCTCCCTCTACTCCTCCCCCCCACTGCTGGTGCTCGCTCTGTCTCATGCTCTCTCACAAATTTTTAAAAATCTCAAAAAAGGGACCCCTGGGTGACTCAGCCGTTGAGCATCTGCCTTCGGCTCAGGGTGTGATCCGGATCCGGGATTGAGTCCTGCATCGGACTCCCTGCGGGGAGCCTGCTTAGCCCTCTGCCTATGTCTCTGCCTCTCCGTGTGTGTGTGTCATGAACAAATAATAAATATTTTTAAAAAATGATTGAAAAAATAAAAATAAAAATAAATGATTGGGGGGGGAGGAGCCCTAGGTGGCTCGGCGGTTTAGCACCTACCTTCAGCACAGGGCATGATCCTGGAGTCCTGGAATTCAGTCCCACGTCGGTCTCCCTGCATGGAGCCTGCTTCTCCCTCTGCCTATATCTCTGCCTCTCTGTGTCTCTCATGAATAAAAATCTAAAAAAATTTTTTTTTAATTGGGTAACTGGGGATCCCTGGGTAGCGCAGCGGTTTAGCGCCTGCCTTTGGCCCAGGGCGCGATCCTGTAGACCCGGGATCGAATCCCACGTCGGGCTCCCGGTGCATGGAGCCTGCTTCTCCCTCTGCCTATGTCTCTGCCTCTGTGTGTGTGTGTGACTGTCATAAATAAATACAAATTTTTTAAAAAATTGGGTAACTGGCTGATGGACATTAAGGAGGACACATGATGAGATGAAGCACTGGGTGTATGCCATATGTTGGGAAATTGAATATAAATAAAATTTTAAAAAGATCATTCAGGGTATTGGCACAATCAAGTCCCTTGCAATTGGACTCAGGGCCCTGGCTGTGACCACCCACCCTTAGCTTCTAGAGGCCTCGCTCCGGTCCTCAAGTGTGGACCTTACTACACCTCAGATGCCAGACTATCATGGACTTTCCCTTCTGCACCATCCCCCCAGGCCTTCTCCTCCTCTTCCAGTGTGAGACAGTTCTGGGCTTTAAAGGCTCACAGGATCAGATTGGGCCCACCCAGACAGCATCCCAGGTTCCAAAAACTGGAAAGGATGGCCATCTTTGGGGGGCTAGTTTTCTCCCTGCCACAGATCCAGATCCTGACACTCCAGCCCTCTCTTACCTTCACACCCACCCATTTGTGCGCTCTCATTTTTCTTCTCATTCTCTGACTCTTAACCTGTTGATTCCACCTTTGACTTAATCTGTTTTTCTCTCCCTTTGTCCCTCTAGGCCCACCAGACCTGATGCCTCTGGCAAATCTGGGCATTCACAGACCCTGTATTGGGTGCCCTATCCATTATGCCCCCACACCCAGTATGTCTCCTATGTCCTTGAGAACCTGCCCTCAAGACCTCTCCCTAGGGGATCCCTGGGTGGCTCAGCGGTTTAGCGCCTGCCTTTGGCCCAGGGCACGATCCTGGAGTCCCGGGATCGAGTCCCACGTCAGGCTCCCGACATGGAGCCTGCTTCTCCCTCCTCCTGTGTCTCTGCCTCTCTCTCTCTCTCTCTCTCTCTCTCTCTCTCTCTCTCTCTCTCTCATAAATAAATAAATAAATAAATAAACAAATAAACAAATCTAAAAAAAAAAAAAGACCTCTCCCTCATCAAGAAGGCACATCAGGGTCATCTTGGTGCTGAGTCCTGCAGGGGATGCAGACATGACATAAGCTTTCTCCCTTGAAGCCCAGGCTAACAGTTGGATCACCCCAGCACACTCAAGAACCTAGAAATGCATGGGCATAAATAAAAGTAAATTTTCTATAGAAAATTTAGGTTTTGGGGCTTTTTTCTTAAGATTTTAATCTCTACAACAAACATGGGACTTGAGCTCATAACCCTGAGATCAAGAGTTGCATACTCTACCATCTGAGCCAGCTGAACACCCCTGAAAATTTAGCTTTTTGATTACTCCCAAAAGGCATCAATATGGGAATGCCTGGGTGGCTCAGTAGTTGAGCATCTGCCTTCAGCTCAGGGCATGATCCTGGGGTCTGGATCAAGTCTCACATCGGGCTCCCTGCAAGGAGCCTGTTTCTCCCTCTGTCTATGTCTTGCCTCTCTCTATGTGCCTCTCATGAATAAATAAGTAAAATCTTTTAAAAAAAGCATCTATATGGATTCCTCATATGGAATAACAGAACTTAATTGGCCTTTCAACACCTTCTTTCCACTAAGACCCATGAGGATGGGTTTTGTCTTGCTCATGGCTTAATCCCCAGTGCTTGGAGTTCAGTAAATATTTATTGAGCTAATAAATTCTCTGTTATGAATGAATACCTGCCCCCCAACAATCCCCAAGTCAGGATAACATCAGGGACAAGAGGCCTGGGTAACCAAGTAGATAGATATTGGAGCTCTCACCCAGTTTTGTGAAACTGCTGGGAGATAGATGCTGGGGTCAGTCAGGGATGTGATAATGAGGGGAGGGGGCCGTCTGGAATGATTTTGGAGAATGTGAGGTCCAAGAAAGTGTAGACTGTCCCTCATCCTTTACTGCTTTATTCCTGTCTAACTGGCCTAAGGCCCAGGTAAGTTTTTTTTTTTTTTTAAGATTTTATTTATTTATTCGTGAGAGACACAGAGAGAGATGGGGGGGGGGGGCTCCATGCAGAGAGCCTGACATGGGACTGGATCCGGGGTCTCCAGGATCACGCCCTAAGCTGAAGGTGGCGCTAAACCGCTGAGCCACCCAGGCTGCCCCCAGGTAAGTCTTTAAAGAGTATAGTTATGAGCACCCTAACCCCACCTACAACATTGTGCAAGGTGGGTACCACCTGCTAATAAAGTCTCAAATGCAGAAGTCTTTATTTTTTTAAGATTTTATTTATTCATGAGAGACACAGAGGGAGAAGCAGAGACATAGACAAAGGGAGAAGTAGGCTCCCTGCGGGTAACCCACTTGCAAGACTCAATCCCAGACCCCACGATCATGCCCTGAGCTGAAGGCAGACTTTCAACCACTGAGCCACCCAGGCACCCCTCAAATGCAGAAGTTAAAGACATCAAGTCAATAAAATGTAGGAGAGTATTAGGAATATCCTTTCAAAAATCTCAAAAGGATGAATCATAAATTAAAGAAATTGATTTTAGGACCTCTGGATGGCTCAGTGGTTGAGCATCTGCCTTTGGCTTAGATCATGGGATCAAGTCCTACATTGGGCTCCTTGTGAGGAGCCTGTTTCTCCCTCTGCCTATGTCTCTACCTCTCTCTGTGTGTCTCTCATGAATAAATAAATAAAATCTTTTTTAAAAAAAAAATAAAAAAAAAAGGGCAGCCCAGGTGGCTCAGTGGTTTGGCGCCTGCCTTCAGCCCAGGGTGTGGTCCTGGACTCCCGAGATTGAGTCCCGCTTCGGGGTCCCTGCATGGAGCCTGCTCCTCCCTCTGCCTGTGTCTCTGCCTCTCTCTCTCTCTCTCTCTCTCTCTCTCTCTCTGTCTCTCAAGAATAAATAAATAAAAATCTTAAAAAAATAAATAAATTGATTTCATTCCATAAAAATGAAGGATTCTGTTCATTGAAGGACCCATGGGCCAAGGTTATGAGAAACAACAGACTGGGCAAAGATTGTTAATATCTGAACTTGACTGAGTTTGAGAAACTAGACTACTGAAAGGAAGTCCTGCAGATTAAAAAGAAGATAGCAAGGGGCACTTGGCTGGTTCAGTCAATGGAGCATGTAACTCTTGATCTCAGGGTCATGAGTTCAAGCCCCACATTGGGTGTAGAGATTATTAAAAATAAACTAACTAAAAGAGGAAGATGATGAAGATGAAGAAATAGAAATTAAGCAGAAACCAAGAAATCAAGAAGAAAGTTGCTTCTGAAAAAATAAAGATAGAAGAGAAATTTGCAGTCTTGTAGTATTAAGTACATAAGAATGGGAATTGAGGGCCTGCCAAGGAGGAGGGACCTAGTAAACACTTCCAGCTTTCCTAAGACAGTCAGGAAAGTCTTCACACCATCAGGAATGGCAAACCAAGAACATACCAGCCTCATGTGGATCATGGTGATCTATCCATACGTACTCTATCTGCATGACAGAAGAAAATTAAATCCTTTCTAAAGGAAGACAATATGACCCAAAGAGTACAGTTTTTATATACAATATTCAAATGTTTTAATTTTTTATTTATTTATTTGAGTGAGGGGGGCAGAAGAAGAGGGAGAAGCAGACTCCCTGCCAAGCAGGGAGCCCAACCCAGGGCTCCATCCTAGGACCCTGAGATCATGACCTGAGCCCAAGGCAGACACTTAGACAACTGAGCCACCCAGGTGCCCCAATATTCACATTTTAATGTAAGAATTACTAGTTTTGCTGGGAGACGGGACAAATGACTGGAAACCAAGAGAAAAAAAAAAAAAAAGACAATAGATGTATGTGTCTATTGATACCAGCATTCTCAGACACATACCTTCAACTACCTCTAATTGATATGTTCCCAAAAATTCATGAAAAGATGGAGAGTGGGGTGTCTGGGTGGCTCAGTCGGT